CTGTATGGTTCGAGGAGACTCAAAACCCGCCTGGACCTACCACCTTCCAGTGTTGGTACCAGACTATCTGAAAAAATGAATTCTCACTTGCCTATTGGCTACCCTTTTCTTCCCCGAACCATGTATGGGTCAAACACTTTTTCAAACTCCCCTATAATACTGAATAAAAGAAGAATGGCGAGCGCGTTCCAAAACCAGGTTAATAAGGCTAATAACTTGATATATAACTTTTGCGATTTCTAAAAACTCCTATAACCCGTTCTGGTTTCTGCTTAATTATCGACTTTTTTTCAAATATTTCTAGCGAATGGTTGTTTTAGCCAATGCTCGTCATCGGCGACGATACTGTCTAATGTGATCAAGACGAAGAAACCCGTTGTGATCGCATTAAGCCAGATGGATAGCGTAGACGATGAAGCACGGAAAGCTCTTCACTCATTACTTAGTCGCAAGGATCTCAAAAGCACACATATCACTGTGGTACGTTGAAGAATTTTTCTTTCTGCTTTCGAGCACTACCGTTTTCTGTTCACTATTGATACCCTGAGATAATCGGCAGGCTCTGGACTCTGGACCCTAATTGACTTCGATAGGAGAAAATGAATCTGGGAACAGATGTATGGTAGGCTAAGCACATCACATTAGGCCAGTATCGATTCGTTATCCGATCCTCGGACAGTGGGTTTGTGGATAAAGAGTCACTTGCCATTACATCACCTCCAACCTCTTTTGTAGATTATCTGACTTGAATACGAAATAGCATGAAGACTGTCTGGACTGATAGTCGCCCTCGAGTGCCATGTGATCATTCCAACCGACTTCGTTCCAACATTTTTCATTTTCTTTTTTTTTTATTCGAGTAGGGTGCTTTTGCTTGTGCTTGTTGCAATTAAATTTTTGGGTCGACAGCAAATTTTTCGAGTCCACTTCAATTTATTCAATTTCTATTCATTGGTGAGTCATGGAGCTGTACTTTGACAAAGGGTAGGCGAAAGCTCAGCTGGAGGGTAATGAGC